AAAAAAAAAAAAAAAGACGAAGTATGTGGGCCACGAGGGCCACTTGCCCCAGACCCCACTGGGCGAACACTTGGGTGACTCCCACCCAAGCAGTGGGCAGCCAGGGCCACCTCCCAGAGCCTGGGGTTGCTTCTCTCTTTCCCATCCCGTCGCCTTTCTCTGTGGCCCATGAATACTGGGAAGGCAGGAACTGGGCAGGTGAAGGAAGGTTTGGTGAGGAGAAGGAGGAAGAGAAATGGATTTGGGGAAGAAGGAACAGCTAAAGGCTGGACTGGAGTCCCTCAAGATCTGTGAGCCCTCAACCCTCAGCTTGTGACCAGTGAGCCTCAGTTTCCCTGTCTGTAAAAGGTGGTAATGGCACCCCCTCACGGGGTTGGAAGGAGGACTCATAGGCAGTGAGTCAGGGGACAATGTGCACTCAGCATCTATTAGGAATTGAGTTTCAAGGCATGGCCATTGGCAAGTACCTGCCTCACCTGAAAGGCTGCCATTCTGACCTGTGGGCCTGGAGCCAAAGTGGCGACATTATGGTCAGGCTATGAGACATATCCCAAATGCTTTTTACCCGGTCTTCCTGGTGGTTCCGGCACTCCAGGGGCCTGGATGCTCCCTCCGGGTTGGACAATAAACTGAGTCCCAGGCCCCCATGGCGCTTCAAGGCCTGTAGGACTCACAGTGGGCTTGGCACCATTGGAGACAGTGGGAGTAGGGCCGGAAAAAGCAGGATTTCTCAGGGGCAGAAGAGATGTTAGGCTGGAGGTTTCCTGTGGAGAAAGAAAGAGAAACTGACCGACCCCTCGTGGACCTCCTTATGTGCAGGGCGCGGGGTGGCAGACCACACAGGATGTCCAGTTTCCAGATTCCTTGGACCCTTAGGATCCCTAGACAGCTCCCCTCCCAGGTCTTGGGGACAACTGTGGAGTGGGCCTGTGGTTCTAGGACCCTCGACCTAGTTACTAGGTTACTCTCTGTCCGAGAGGATAGAGGTTTACTTGGAAATACACAGCCCAGGTGAGACCAGGGAGGGTTCTGAGCCCTCCCCGGAGCCTGACACCTCCCCCGCCCCCAAATCCTCCCCCCGGGGATCCTAGGTAGCACAGTTCTCAAGGGCACCTTCTGCTGGCAACTTTAGCTGAGTTTGGCCCTTGATTGCCTCAAATCTGGAACCAACCTGAGCAGGTTCTGCCCACCTTCCCCTACTCCCACATGCAGACCCCTAGCCAAGGGCAAGAACTATGCCCTCCTGGCACCCGCTTCTCTGGGTTCCGCAGGTGCTGAACCCTTTCTCACTTTCAGGAGAGTTGCTGGCCATTCTGGGTCTCAGTTTCCCCATCTGTGATCAGGATGGGGTTGTAACAATCCCATGTTGGCCGAGCCCCACCCTGTCTGGCCACAAATGAGGCTGTTAGGGGCACCTGGGTGGCTCAGTTGGTTGGGCAGCTGCCTTCGGCTCAGGTCATGACCCTGGAGTCCTGGGATCGAGTCCCGCATCGGGCTCCCTGCTCGGCGGAGAGTCTGCTTCTCCCTCTGACCCTCCCCCCTCCCATGTGCTCTCTCTCTCATTCTCTCTCTCTCAAATGAATAAGTAAAAATCTTTAAAAAAAAAAAAAACCAAATGAGGCTGTTAGCTACTTCATCAGTCACAAGTGGGGGATGGGATATTCCTGCCTAGTTCACAACTCAGCAGTGTTTTTCTAAGACACAGAACCACTGGTTGGATGTGGGGACTGCCCAGAGGGGTCTCCGAGACTTTACCCACACTTCAGGATGTGGTTGGGGTGTGAGTCTTTCAAGTTCTTGGTCAACGGCAGCATGGGCGGGGTGTCCTTGAAGTGTTTCTGCAACTTCTGGGATCTGGGCACCTCCAGCCTGGGCTGCATTTTGGAGGGTCCTGGGAAGGTCGGGAGGTGTTCCTGGATCAGGGATAGGGCACGCCCCAGTGGTAGCCCCCTGGGGTGTCAGCAGCATCAGGGAGAAACGTGATGGTGTTGGTTCCTGCCCAGGCGTGGCTGTGCTCCTTGCTCTCTGAGCTGGGCCTGACACTGTAGGACCAAACTTTATAGTCTGAACTTAACTATCCCGGCCTCCCCAGC